CTGTCTAGGAAGCAGGTGAGAGAGAAAACTTGCTTTACATTTCTCCCGTTCATGGTGGTTGGTGCTTCTTGTTGATGGTTGGCTATCTTCACCACTTCCGTCTTCTCTACATTCAATTGAAGTCCCGTCTTCGCTACCCCACATCACCTCTTCTGCAAACTTGTCAGTTTTCAACTGTAGATCTTCGAGTTTGTGCAACAAGATATTAAACATGAATCATCATCGTCAGCGAAATCCTAATCTTCTTCTGTAGTCTCTTCATCGGTCAAGCCAGCGTATACCCATCTTCCAGATCCTCACTGTTGTCTGTTGCATGATCCAGTACAGTCCACCACAATCAGGAAGATCAATAGTGTTAATAGGCAGCAACATTCTCTTACTCCTGTCCCCTGTCTTCACTTCACTTCAAAGGCATCACTGAGCTTTCCATCGTGAATCACTTGGCATATACCGCCTTATGGCATGTAGCTGTTGAATGAGATTGATGAATGTTTGTGGTAGTAAAACCGTAGTGTTGAAGCAGCTGCCTGCCGAATTACTTCTCGGTCGACGCTGTCGAAGGCCTTTTCAGAGTAGATGAAGTTGAGGTAAGGTGAAGAGTTGACTGTCATTCTATGCTGTGTTCTATGATGATGTGCAGCGTAGCGTTGCGTTGCAATTTGATCCGCATATGATTTGTTTATCCTGAAGCCAGCCAGCCAGACAGCCAGCCAGGAGCCCGTTCCGGCTGTAATTTTGAATCTAGAGCATTGTTTAGTCGCTGCAGGATGATGTGGCATAATATTTTGTTTGAGGTGGACAGGAGCATGATTTCGCCCCAGTTCTTGCAGACCTAGGTCGCCCTTCTTTATGAATCCGCTGATAAGGTAGCCCTTCTTCCACTCTGCAGGTACATTTTCTGTCTTTCCGCCTTCCTTCCAAACCTTCTGCAATAGTGGTGTGGTGTGAGCATGTCCGCTGTTGCCTCAGTCTGTTTTCAGTGCTTCTGGAGGACTTCCATCTTGTCCTGCTGCTTCCCGGATTTAAGCAGTTTTATGGCATTCAGGACTTCACTTCTGCTCTCGTCGGAAGGCTTGTGTTCACTGATAGTTTTGTGGCTGGGCTGCTGGTGATATTTCTGGACACATTGCATGTGGTCGTGGTGGTAGTGGTGGTCGATTCAAGAGATTTTTCAAGTGATTAGTCCATCGTTTCCTTTGTTTCTCCTCTTTGGTGGTAACTAAGTTTCCTTCACTATCTTCCATTGGTTTCATCTGTGTTGATCTCTCCCATCCCAGATAGTAACCTGGTTATTTGAAATCATGTTGTCAGGTCTCCGTCTCTCTTACCTGCAGCCTATTCTGCTTCACTTGCAAGTGTGTCGTGGAAGTGTCTTTTGTCTTTGCATGCACTCTTCTTCACTTCTTTGTCCAGTGTAGTGTTTTATGGGTTGTACTCAGTTCCTGTTTTCCTTGTTCATCCCTGCACTGCACTTCACTGCACTTCACTTCACTTCACTTTACTGGTTCATCTTCCACTTCACCATCTTCCTCTCCCTCCTCTATCAGCTTCAATGTGTCCGTCGAGATCCACTCCCTTTCTTGTCTTGTCTTGTCGTGTCTTGTCTTGTCTTGTCTTATATTGTCTTGTTTCTTCTTCCTTCCTAACACTGTTGTGCAGGTTACCTTCCTCGTCTCTTTCACAGAGTTCCAGTGTTCTTCAACGCCCTATCCTTCAGCGATGCTGCTTGATCTATTCCATTTGTCCTGGTGACTGACTGACGTGAAGATGTCCTTTGTAGTTCCCTCCTACAGTTCAGTTTCTGTTCTGGGTGGTTGTTGAACTTCAACTGTGGTCCATCATCACCAGCTTCTTCTTCGAAGGCTTTCAACTTCATTTTCAATGCAGGTTCCTTACACTAGATAGTGAGTGGTGTGAACCTACATCTGCTCCTCTCTCTTCTTCATCTGGTCTTGTGTCCAGTGGACTACATCTCCACTCTCTTCACATTGAGATGAAGTCGATCTGAATTTTAGTGTGTCCACCTGATGAATTCTATGTGGCTTTGTGCATATTCTTGTGTTTGTACACAGTGCCTCCAATCGCCAAATCCTTGAATGCACAGAATTCTGCAAACAATTCTCCATTCTCGTTCATCACCTCACCGAGAGCTTCTTGACACATGGTTAGTTCTCTTCGTGTGTTGACCACTCCCCACAGTTTGGCATTCATGTCACCACAACCATCAGAATTTTTGAAGTCGCCAACTAGAGTGTTGTCTAGAAGTGATTGCAGTTGTCTGTAGAATTCCTCCTTCTTCTCTTCATCTGCATTATTTGTATGTGCATAGTGCAGCATTGTATGATTGTGACTTTCCTTCCTTTTGAGTTGAATCTTGCTGTCACGATCCTGATCGTGGATGAGAGTGACTTCCACTGCATGGGAGCCTTCGATGCTCTTGGGTACATCATGATAGCCACTCGGTAACTCAGTGTGCTTGTGTTTGTCGCTTGGGTGACAATATCAGAGTAGATTATTGACTCTCCGGTCAAGAGTTTGGAGAGTCCACTTCTATTCCATCTGCAGATTCATCGCACTTCTTGCCATACCTCCTCATCTCTTTTGCAATCTGGGCAGCCTTGCCAGCCAGCCAGCCAGCCAGCCAGCCAGCCAGCCAGCCAGCCAGCCAGCCAGCCAGCCAGCCAGCCAGCCAGCCAGCCAGCAGCCAGCCAGCCAGCCAGCCAGCCAGCCAGCCAGCCAGCCAGCCAGCCAGCCTGCCAGCCAGCCAGCCAGCTTCAAACACTGTTTGGATATTCCATGTCCCCATTCTTGCTTTCGCTGTCATCGAGAGAGAGAGAGAGAAGATACATCGGCCAGTTGGCTTCCGAAGGCAGGCTTTCACCACCCACCGTTATTTCGTCTTTCCGATTCAAGCGAGGAATGAGTTTGTTTTTATTTTTTATATTTTGTTTGTGCTTTGAAGTTTGTTTAGTGATTGGATTTGTTTTCCGGGTAGGGTTGCTAGCCCCATGCCCAACCTTCCCTCTTTATGCAGACTTTGGACCGACTAGTAACTAGTGACCGAGTAAGCCAGGCGAGAATACTGCAACCTAGGTGAGAACCGTATGGAATAACCAACGCCCATACTGCATTCCTATCTCATTTATTCCCAGTGCACACTAAATCTGTTGCTGTTGATCTTGTATGCCTTCGTATGATTTGACCCAATTATTAATGTCAGGGCGGTCACGTTTAGGCTATCTTGTGTTAATTTGCCGAAAAATGTTCTTTTCTCGTCGATTCTTTCCAGGGAATCAAAAGTCTGAGGACATGTTTGACTCTCCAAAAAGACTTAACTTTTTGATACAAAACTACCGCCGGTCATTTTGACTTCACGGTTACTCACGCCGTCAACAGCGTCAACTCAAGGCAATTTTATATTTGCTTCTTATATTATCGTTGCAACTCGCTGACACCACGAACTGCTTGGTATCTAGTAGAAAACAAATAAGGTCAGCTACTTCATTCATTAGCACGACCTAACACATTAGACGTTGCATTTCAGACTCAATTGGGCAGTTGAGTCTTTTAACGCCAGGATGATCACTCGTCTTACACCACCCTTCCTCTTCTCTCCAGATCATCTTGAGATGAGGAGAAGAAAGTCTGTCGAATCTCATGTGAGTTGTTTCAGCAGGGCAGCAAATATCGAGACAGAATCTGAGACAGCTTGAGACATTGGTGATGGCGTTGTCTAAAACTTCATCAGCAAATATATCACAGTCTCCTTCTATGAGCGTGCTTCTCAAAAGTAATACACTCTCTTGTGAACAGCATCTGTACTAAACCTTCTTGGAAAGATATCCGAAAGCTTTCTTGCGTAGTTTGTCGTACACTTTAGGCAAAACACGTACAATACAGTGGTCATAATTCAGCATTGGAGCCCGTTTACGTATTTGCTCAAATGATTGCGACGAAATTTAATGTTAATGCGCCCAATTTTTTCGTTAGATAAGCAGAAAGCATATATAGTTGGAGGAGGACCAGTTTGCACTGATAAATGCTGCTATACTACCACCATACTTCTTCTTCTTCTTCTTCTTCTTCGAAAAGCTTCAATCTTGTCAAAATTGTCTGAAACCATTTAAGCAGACTAAATCACCAACATCCAGGTTATGAAGCCATGTTTCCTGCGGCATTATTACACCCGTGTTTCGACAAACATTTGTGGATAAGAGTGACTGAAGGTAATCAACTTTATTTGATCTATGGTCATAAGCTTGAGAGCCCGTTGTCATCCACCTGGCTGCTAATTTGCCTATCAACTTCTGAAGTGATGGGTTGTAATGATTTTAAAAAGGCGTGGGAGTATACAGTGTAATTGGTTAACATAACTGAGCGATTAAAACAATATACAAAGGTGGAATTCGATGCAACATATTCTGTGATAAAATAAGGTGGTCCAGAGTTCAGGCACGCCACCCAGGTACATCATTCAACTATACTTATTCAGGATGAATGATGCTCACAGATCTTAGTGAGTTAGTTGAAGCATCCGAAGGGATTTATGATTCGAGTTTTCACAGCAGAACATCTGCACGAAGAACACATAAAATTCATATTTTCAGACAGAATCTGATAACATCTGGAGATAACTTTCAATCCCACCCTTCGTCAAGCGGTTCGATAAATTTCTGACACAAGCACTAGATAAGAAATAATAATATTTCTAACAGCTTCGCTAAAATCCATCACATTGGACACATGTATGAATTATGCATAGAATTAAAAGCTTTTGTTGATCCATGAGCACCTAATTGTTCCACCACATAGATTGAAACTTCGATCAAATAAAGAAATACGTATCTCACCTACTGTGTTCATTGTATTTTTATTTCATAATATAAAAGAGCTGAATAAAACAAAGGATTTTATAGTAAAAAATAAATTTTGAAAAATTTTGTGCATGCCTGATATTCAACTGCCACAGAATGATAAATATGCAGAATGCATTCGAATGTCTAAAAAATTGTTTGAGTTTCTGTGGTTGCGTCAAGATAATTCATCCAGCATATACACAAACCTAAAATTACAAAGGGTAAAATAAATTCAACATTATTGGATTACGCATAACTTGATATTCAGTTGGCTGAATAAAACTACAGTTTCCATTTTAGTTGATTTATTGGATGTATCACACACTGGTACAGAATCGTCTACTGGATTACGTTTTGAACATAATTTATTGTCCATAGTCATATCAAGATAACCACACAGCTCTAAGACATTCTCTATATGGTTCTTATCTTATCTTCTTCTTATTATGAGGAGTCAGCTAACTACCAGAATGCCCTTACATACTCATCACTAGGTTCATTGAGGATGAGCACGAAGTATTACAGCTGCTCAAGCACCTTCAGAGAAGCAAAACTTTCTGCTGTGTGAACTCAGTCACACTGAAGCCTTCCAGTAGTTCGCTGAAGACTTTAATTGTCAAATTGCCTTGAGTTATAGAGTAAAATAGGTGGTCTCAGGGCTTTTAAATATCATTTCTATACTTCTTGTATATTTTCTTGATGAGTCATACCATCAAACTGATGAAGGCATTTTATATGGGTTGAACAGTTTTGAATTCAGCTTACATGACATTATAATGGTTGTAGTTGCTGCTAATTAATCCTTCTATCATAAATGAGAGATTGTAAAGACTACATCTTCGATTCGGTTCAGCGAGCGAAAACTCGTACACATGATTTGCCTACTCTGGTTATTTCGGTATGTATTATGTCCAACAAAGTCGCTGCAAATGCTATCCTCAGGGTTCTGGGAAAACGATCAGTTCAGAGGATCGGAGAGTGTTGTAACCTCTTATATGAACACATACACACTCCCATCAAAACGCATACTCTTATGACTGTACGCAATTATCCTAGAATAATGACACATTTTTAGGAATTTAAACATTCACGTTTTAGTCAATAATTACATATGTAGATATAACAAATTCAATGCTCGCTCAGTCTTTATGGATGTTTATTGTCACTCAACTGTAACTATCTCGATACTCACTGGCTGTAACCCTAACCCATCCAAATGAACGTTTGAGAGACTGACTATACAAAAGTATTCCAATCGCATCCAGAAACGATATTTCAAGGCTTCCTGAGTCACTGTACAGATTATAGTAAGGAGGGAAACAGGAGAGCGCAAGCATTTTAGTTAACTTTCAAGAAACCTCAATTTAATCATCTCGCAAACTCACCATCATTTTCAATTATTCTTGTCTAAAGAGTGTATATCTACAGAGATCCAGTGAAGTAAACCATCGCACACAGATTTCGAATTGACAACAGTGTATTTCACCCTATTTAGTCCGTCGCTTTCGAGACGCTGTGATGCATTTTTCAGTAAGTCGAAACTGTATGTATTTGAATGGAGAAAAGAGGGGAAAAAGCAAATCAGTTGTCTACAGTTTTACTCAACACTAGAAAAAAGAATGAAAGTTATTTCAACTTGGCATTCATCATGGACTGAATTCAGTTGGAGAACCATTGAAGACATGGGAGCACTGGCCATCTGTTTCTTCCTAGTATGGGGCTCATCAGCAGTGGGCAGCGATGAACCCACTAGGGTCCAAACCTAGAACATCCACATTTCACGGCGATCACGTAGTCACTGAGCCAGCGAATCAGAATTCAATGGTCCACCTCTCCATGTTTCTGTCAGTTCGCGCCATACCGTAACCCTCACCCGATCTTGACCCATCCTAGGATGACACAGCCATCCAGTGCTCCCAGATTCTCAATAGTTCTCCGACTGATGTCAGTCCATCATGCGTACCAAATTAAAATCAGCAAAACCTCACGAACCTCCGCATTGAATAAAAGTCTTGTTTTGTTTTCCTTTCTTCCGTTAGATAGCTAAGCTATGTACAGCGAATCATTTCAACACCAATCTTGTACATCACTATGACAATCATGAAAACCTTTGTTGTAAACAGTATTGATTAAGTGGAAGAAATCATACACTAGTTAATGCCGTACTTTAGATTTTGTAAACTAAGAGAAGGAAACATCAGTTGTTTTTTATTAATAGTCTAAATTCATATGTTAGCGTAAACTTAGCTGTTGCATGGTGAGCATCAATCTTTGAAAGATATCTTCAGTCACGCATGATGCTGAAGTGGCATTTCTTCCTTTCACCTTACCATTTCGGTTATACTGTACATAATTTTCTCATACATCTTAAGGATATTTTTGGTCTAGGCGTAAGGCGTCAATTACAGTCTAAATGGCTGACACTTTATCAGGATTCCATACATTTCTTTCTCTCCCTGAGTTTAAGCATGGCAAAATAAAATATTGTTATGGGATTCTAACTTGGCCGGTGGGGCAAAATGCAATTCCAAATTACATTTGTTGACCTGAAATAGCACACTGCATGTTTTGCCACATAAACAGTTCTACTCTTACACCATAATTTCTCCAAATATGAACAATGCAATGTACTAGTTAATTACTTTTGAAAAATGTTTAGTTCTCTCTTATGAGCAACTCATTTCTGAGTTTTCAGCCAAATTATTACTTATCTCAGTTGTAATTTCTCATCAAGTTAGTTTTCTGAGTTTGAAGAAGGTTAAACGCAGTATTTTGAACACATTGCATTCTAAAATAATACTTTGTCTTGCTTAATTGATGATAACCAACTGACGGTAGTTCAACTGACATCCTTTGCATCATCAACCTTAGGTCGGTAACACAGTAGACTACCACAGAACCTCATCTGTAGTTCACAATTACTCAGGCATACTTCTTTCCGGAAATGCATATTTTTAATGAAAACATAATACCTCAAACTGTGATTCTAATTCGATCATTATTAGGTATTTACGAAAAACGGTCACAAAACTGACATACCGATTTGGATTCATTTCATTGAATTTATCTACCTCATGTGATAGAGAATAATAACGACCAATTTCTGCTCTGACTCGAGATATTTTATATCCAGATTTTTCTACGCGAATCAGCAGGTCATCATCTTCACCACCCCACCCTTCATACAAATTTGAAAATCCGTTCACTTTACGAAACTGCTCTCGAGTGAAAGCTACAACGCCGCCGAAAAATCCGGAATATAGCAATCTATAAATGAAATAGCATCGAAAGTAGTGAACATTATCTTTTAATATCACTTAATCAAATAAATTCACCTTCAAAGAGTAAGACGTCATAATAAACAGGACCAATATCATTGAAAATGTAGCATAATCAAGTTTCATCAATTAGCATAAAACGAAAGACAGCTAGACGGTATTTCTAAAGCAATAACAGTTAAACTAACACTACGGAATATATATATATATATATATATATATATATATATATATATAAATGTAAAATCTGCAGACAGTGGAGACCTTCTCGAAGGTGAAACTCTAACCACTGAAATATACAGTCTAATCTTGATTATTTTAAAGATTTACGGCAACAGCAAGTGGTTGGTATGTTTCAACTCAGCAAAAGGGACACATTGTTCTTGCAAACATCGTTTCAAAGTCAGAAGTCAGATAACATGTAACACTAATAACGCGAAGAACGTGACTGAATTATGTTATACTCTTCCGAAAATACAAGAATATTATTTGCATAATACTGACAAAACACTTGGAAATATAGATTGAATTGTACATTTTTACTAGTACCAGTATTGAAAACGATTTGAAGCAGGTTGTTTACATAGAATACTCTCTCATTTATCAGATGGTTATTTCTTCTGATTTCGGCTAACTTTTTCAATCAACAGGTTCATAAGTGAACATGCATATTTTAGAGGTTTAATCAGATGGAAGCGAATCCTGTGAAGGTGGAACATTAATGTCTATTATTAGTTATAAGATGAAATTAGCACGAACAATAGTGCGATAAGTATTCAAAAAGTTAATGACGGTGATCGAATTATTATAGTGGCGAAACGCGGGCCCACTGATAGATTGTAATTTCATTTTGGTTTGTTTATCAGATGTTTCATACAGCTAAACAGTATTGTCTACTGGACAATGTTCTGAATAGATAAAGGTCACGTCTAAAATGAAATTATTTTCAAATAAGGCGAAAAATCAAGTAAATCAAGTAGCGACATTCAAGAGTGAGAAATGTAAAGTCCTACACAGGGATTTCAAACTACTTCCAGTAACAGAATTGACGAACAATACCATAAAATTAATAAAGTACGAAGGTGAAGCAAAGTAGATAAAGTATAAGAATGGAGTGCGTGGTTGGAACATTCAGTGCATAGTGGACAGGTTTATAAAGAGTGTGTTGACCCTGTTGTGAGCAAGGTGGATAGAGTGGAAACACATAATTCTTAGAGCCCATAGATCAGCTTCCCCATTTCGGTTACTGTCTATAGGAAACGTGGTCTAATACTTTTGGAATATGGTGTGGAGTACTTCACCTCACATGAAGGATATAATGAAACTAGGCATTTGAAATACTCGTTGAATCGGACTGATCGGTTTTCTCTATTGGATATGATCAAAGATATGTATCAATATTCATGTTAGTCACACCATTAAGTTTCAGGAAAAAAGCTTACTTGTAGCCAGTACTACGAAGTGCAGATGAAAAATGTAGTGGATGAGATTTGCATGTGTACGTGAGTCGATCATCTTCAGGTAATTTGTCCACATCATGCAAAACAAAACAGTCGTATTCCTGAAACCTGGAAACCTCGAGAAACCCAGAATTAAGTAGAGCACCACGATTGAACTTAGTTGTACCAATCTGGAAAAACAATACAAATTTGGGTTTGATGAAAATAGACAATTTAGTAAATCACAATTTCACACTTTATGAAGTGAATGCTTAACTAGGTTTGTCTAAGGTATATTGAAAAATGTGGTTTCAGATCTCATCAATTCATTGGATAAATTAAACAGTTCATTCATAATGCTATAGGTCAGATTCATGCGAACTAGTTTGGTTAGCATTGCTGTAAACGACACATCCAGCTTCAAATCGGCAACACTTGAATTTCTTGTCAAACCTTCAAAGCACGAACCCTTGCAACCAACCAGCTGTATGCATTATTAAAACCCTTACATCTGAGCAAAAGTCGAGTCGCATGGCACTACTTCAAAAGTATAAAACCTATATCCGCAACATGGTTTGCGTTAGAACATTTGTCTTCAAATTAATTAGTTTCAATATCAACCGGTAGGTTGAGCAAAGCTCGGAAAATGTAAACATTGCAAATCCCAGTTTAATAAGGTATGCGGGAGAAATGGATTTAAATCACTTCACATAAGTTAGCATTCTCAAAGTAGAAAGTGCCATGAATACTTTTAAATGGTCTAATTGGTTTTAATCTGTTTTAGCAGACAAACAAATGGACTACCTCCTCAGGGTATCATTCTAACACGCAATTATCTTGAAAATGTTGGCAGGTGATTTCTCTTCACTACAACTGCAACCTTATTTCATCGAACCCGATGCTTATTCCATTATACTTAGACCAGCCTACCTGACTAGGCCAGTTTTGAGTAATCTTATCTATCTACCTTTCGATTTATTAATGAATAAGCATCAATGTAGTCGACTAAAACTCTGTGCTATTAAATATGTGAAATCGCTGTAGTATGATTTTCTAGGAACGTTTCCAAAATTACTTTTTAAAAATAGCTGCTAGAGCAACTTGCCTCGTTTGTACTTCAATCTGTTACAGACTACCTAAAATATAATAAATGAGATGATAATATTAAGGTGAAAACAACTGCGTTTGCATGTAATAGGCATAATATTTCCTTGTATTGCTTTGTTTAAGGGGCCTGTCTCATAAAGCATTAATATAAATAGATATTTCACATTCAAGATATCGATGAATGTTACCAGCAATCCCATTTTAGAATTAAAAGCGATTTTTTTCCAGTTAACTCCACAAACATCTAAAATTATTTGAAATCTATGTAAACTAATGATTAAAAAAATATCAGGATGAATTCATGTTTTCATGATACACGAAAAACAAGTAGGTGCTTACAAGTTCCTTAAGTGACATAGAACTCGAAGTAATCTCCATATCATACAGTATCTTTACCAAGCTGAAATTCAGTCAAATAATGGTTAAGAACGGTGTGAGCCTAATAAATATTGGGTCTACAGAAATCACTTTAAGAAGATTATGTTAGCATATGTTAGGACAGAAATAATTTCAGACTACCCAATCCGTTTGCTTGATGACTTGCCAAACATAAGTGCTTATGAATCGAAGATTGTTGTCTCAAAAAACACGCTGGGAGAATTGATAGCGGTACAACACGCTTTATTCTAAGTACCAGCGTGTTATTAAAACAAAATTCAAAATAAATGGAGATAGTAAGAACGAGAGATCTTGAATCATCAAACAAAAGCTTTATGTTTGTATTTTCGACTAGAAAATATACAGTATTACAAAGTAAGTGGTGCATGTAATGGGTGAAGATAAGCAATATCCTCAGTTATACCTTCTTCATATACTTAATTTCCATTCTGCAAGGATTACATCTTCTGTTTCACTTACAACTCTTTTTGATATCTAATGGTTTGAATAGTCGAGATTCATCTCTACTCACATTATTGATAGAAAGAGAGATAAAACCAATGTAGAAACTAGCGCACAAGTGCATCGGTTCAAGTTACCACACTTCTCAGTAGTATACATAGAACAAGTGAACAGAAAAATAATGATATCAAAGTAGTCAAAGTTGTTTGAAATAATAAACAATTTGGAGATAAATGTTAGTGCAAATATTCAAGCTTTAGAAGACGTCGAAGAGTGAATCCATGTGCGACACTGTGACCAATCTTCAGACATCTCACAAAACGTCTTCAACCACCAATTCCTACCAGCATAGTGACCTCTTCCAGGCAGACTACTTCTCTCACCACACAGCTCAGATCAACAATCAGGAACTTCATTGACTGATGCCACCTCCTGATCCGGTCACCGTCAACCCTCTTCCAAACTAACCCACTTTCTCTTAGGATAGTACATCAAGGTGTGTGGTGTCTCGGCATGTGAAGCAAGATTACCCACGAGTATGATCAAAAAGGCATTACAATGTAAGATCTTCAGATCATTCAGATTATCTACATAACTCAGTGGTGAAGATGTAAGTTTGATATGAGCTTGAAATTGCATGAAAACCTGCTTTGTGTTAAGCTGTTAGATACTCCTAAACGTCTTTCCGATGCCCTGTTGATGATTAACAACAGTCAGCAGGTCTACATTAGTGAATCGCTGATATTCCTCACCAATATCTTTTAGTGTCAGCTTTGGGTCTTGTTCCAGGCGATTCAGCGGGCGGGTGCGTATATCCGCAAAATTCAGTGACTGAGGAGCAGAAATAAATATGAGCACTTTGAATTGTTCTTCTGTTAGCGACTTTAACTTGTTTGTTGACATGCTCTATTCCCTATCCCAATTTGGGTATGCATGTCATCGGCTTCATTGAGTACCAGCTTCACGCAGTGGTAGCGAGTATTGAAGAGTGAGTGATGTTCTCCAAACTGCTGTCGTAGTGTTTCTACTGCTTCATCAAGTGTTCTTTCCCGTGGGTTCTGTGGAAGGATTAAATTACAATATTTATCTAATTCATCTGAACCGAGTTTTTGGAGCAGAAGTCTAACTTCCCATGCGTCGTCTTGATTTGCGAAATCAACTCTGAATAGGTCTTCGTATCGTCGAAACCATGTTTCAGAAGTGATGTTGGCATCTAGATTGTATACAGGCTCCGAAATACTGAAACTACTTTTATCATCCAAAAAAGATGGAGTGGATGTAGACGGAGTGACGCGTAGACTAGCAAGCAGTTCCATCATCTTCAGTTGCTGCTCCATCAATTTTTCCAGTCGCTGTACCTCTTTTTTAATACCTCCGTACGACAACAGTTATATATATTCTGAAGGAATATAGTGCGCATGCTTAGCTGATAGCTTACTGAGTACGCAAGAGCCACTGACTGCAACCCCAGGACGAATAGAGAGAAGACCGAAGCTGGATGATGGGAGAGTTTATTCCTCCGAGACTATAATAATAATAATAAATCAATCCCAAAGCACGTGAATAAGTACACATATTAAAAGTGACCTTGTCCTCAGTTTGAGACATTGGGATAGTAAGAGTAAAGATTAACCAATCAGTGAATTACATTACAATTGGGATCGAAAATAGACTACTAGTCATACTGTAAGAAATAGTGTGGGAATGACACGTTGAAATGTTTAGATCAATAACAATATTTGGTATAAAACTGGATCAACACAACACAACGACAACTAAAAGCAGCACTGATGGCAGTAAAGACTGATGGCAAGTGGAGTGACAAATTACCACTAATACTATTTGGTATACGTTCGAGTGTCAAGCAGGACATTGGCAGTTGTACTTCTGAGTTAGTCTATGGAACTAACTCACGATTGCCAGGAGAGTATTTTAACCCAGCAACAGAAGTTCCACCGGACTTGACTAACTGTGTGCAACAACTACGGCGACACATGAGCACACTACGACGTCAACCCTCACGATACCGAGATGACCAAGTGTACGTACCTCAGTGCATCTCAAACTGCACTCACGTTTTTATCCAACAAGATGGTGTACGCAAAACCCATAAAACCCCCGTATGAAGGACCTTTCAAAGTAATTAGTAAATCAGACAAAGTTATCACGTTCGAACGCTCCGGCAGACCAGAAACGGCCAGCATAGACAGAATCAAGCAAGCGTTTGTGGAACCAAACGTCACGGATACCAGGTGTGAATCCACAGTGAAGCAACCGGAAACACCAAAACCACCGTCAAAACGGAAACAACGGCGTCGGAGTCGCCCACAATTAGCGACGGTAGCAAAACCACAAGGTCCGGAAGAAGAGTCCGTTGGCAGCAACTTTACTTTCAGATAATATACTTTTGATAAAACCGATTCCCCAGTCACACTATTATCGCTTTTTTGTTCATTACATCGTTGAAAACATGATCACACGATTTTGTCGGACTTTTCCGCATGCACAAAACAACATTTTCTCATGGCACTACGGAATTCCGGATCTTTATTTCTTAACAATGTTCCGGGTATTACGATTTTGTTTGTTTTTTTATCTCTGCATATATTATTACTTCGGTGAAATTATTTTAGTGTTACGACTATCATACACTTCATTTTTATATAAGTAATTTTCTCATCAGTTTTCATCCTCATGATAGATATCCTTTACATTCCTTCTATGTTTTAAATATCTTTAAAATGAATTTATCTTTATCAGACAGCACCTTATATCGAACACAGATATTCCTTCTTATATCTGTATTCTGGCGAGGGACTTAAGTAGCGTTTCATAGACAGAGACCTGACAACATGATATCAAATAACCAGGTTACTATCTGGGATGGGAGAGATCAACACAGATGAAACCAATGGAAGATAGTGAAGGAAACTTAGTTACCACCAAAGAGGAGAAACAAAGGAAACGATGGACTAATCACTTGAAAAATCTCTTGAATCGACCACCACTACCACCACGACCACCTGCAATGTGTCCAGAAATATCACCAGCAGCCCAGCCACAAAACTATCAGTGAACACAAGCCTTCCGACGAGAGCAGAAGTGAAGTCCTGAATGCCATAAAACTGCTTAAATCCGGGAAGGCAGCAGGACAAGATGGAAGTCCTCCAGAAGCACTGAAAACAGACTGAGGCAACAGCGGACATGCTCACACCACACCACTATTGCAGAAGGTCTGGAAGGAAGGCAGGAAAGGTACCTTTCGATTGGGAGAAGGGCTACCTTGTCAAACTCTTAAAGAAGGGTGACCTTAGTCTTTGCAAGAACAAGAACTGGTGTAAACCATGCTCTTGTCCACACCAGGCAAAATTATAAACCACATCATCGTTGAGCGAACAAAAGATGCTCTGGATTAAAAAAATTGCAACCAGAAAAGGCTGGATTCAGAGAGAACAAATCATGTGCGGATGAAACTGCAACGCAATCCTACGTACGCATCATCATAGAACATAGTATAGAATGGCAGTCAACTCTCTAACTCAACTCCATCGACTTTGGAAAATCCTTTTACAGCGTCGACCGAGAAGTAATTTGGCAACTGCTTCAATACTACGGAATACCACAAACCTTTATCAGCCTCATTCAACAACTATATGAAGATGTCACATGCCAAGTAACTCACAGTGGGAAGCTCAGTGATGCCTTTGAAGTGAAGTGAAGACAGGAGAAAGACTTGGCTGTCTACTATCACCGATGATCCTCCTGATTGTGGTGGACTGGATCATGCAGCAACCCGTGATGAGCGAGATGATGGGTATACTCTGGCTGGACCGAAGAAAACAGCCTTGAAGTTTTAGATTCGCCGATTACGATTTATGTTCAATGTCGCACAAACTCGAAGATCTACAGGCGAAAACTAACAAGTTGACAGAAGGGGCGAAGCAGCGAAGACGGAACTTCAAGTGAGTGTAGAGGAGACAGAGGTGATGAAGATATCCAACCAAGAACAACAACAAGCACCATGAACGGGCGAAACCTAAAGGAAGCAGTCTCTTTCACCTACCTCAAGAGCATCGTTTCAACTACAAACGAGTATGTCAAAACCAGAATCGAAAAAGCAAGCAAGACAGGCTTTCACTAATCTGAAATCGGTGTGGAGATCTACTGCTCTCAACACAAAGAACAATATCCGGATTTCCAACACCATTGTCAAGTCAGTGTTGCTATATGGTTCAGAAACTTGGCGTGTCACGAAAAGCATTTCCAAGAAAACCGCAGACATTCATCAACAGCTGCAGCCTACACTCACTCGATACTGAAGATCAAATGGTCAGAATAATAAGAATAAACTACAAGGAACTCTGACCTGGGAATGAACCAACCAAGAACCTATTACCCAACAAATATGTAAAATAAATTGGAGATGGATTAGTCATATACTGAGAAAGCCATTCGGAGACATCACGCGCCAGATTGTCGAGTGGAATCCAAAAGGGAAACGACGAGTTATGCATCCCAGCTGAGAATGACATGGAGGAGATCATGTGAGAAAGAAATGAAAGCTTGTGGGCAGTCGTGGCGCCAGGTTCAAAAGACTGTAGAGAAGAGAGTGCAATGGAGTCGTGCTACTGAAGCCTTGTGTTCCACTAGGAACCCAAGGGAAAAGTAATAAATAATAATAACAATTGAATATATTGCTTAGTTGTACTGATTTAAAAACTTTTACCTGCTTTTTGACCAACACCATATCCTGATATATACTTCGTATTAACTCCTGATATTTACACTGTTTGACGCAGGTTGATGAGAGGTGTCGAGAATAATAAGTAGGCGATAGTGTATCTGGACGCGTATCTAAATTTGGAGTCAGATTTCAGAGCCCGACGACTCGACAATGTTTGTTGTTCTAGCTTTGCAAAAACTGAGAGAGGAATGTAGTTCAAGCTCTAGATAATTTAGTAGCGACAAATTGTAAAATTATACGTGAACCCATTCATTTGTGTTAATTTGTGAATTTCATATAATGTCTTCACATTACACGAGAACATTCTGGTGTGGAAGGTTATCTTTGAGTATCAGCATCTTTTTGTGCTCATATATAGTGATGAAGATGAATACGTATTTGACAATGAATATCTTAGGTGATTGGATTTGGTTACTTTAAATGATAAGTTGAGACTCTAGATGAGATTTACCTAATCGTAAAATAGATTCTTGTTTTGTGTGGGTGGCTAACTGTCATAACATGCGACCATTACCAAATCCATCATTGTAACATGAAACATGCTGTTTATCCTTCTATTTCTTCTTAATTTTCTATTTTGATGTTACCATTGCACCATTTTATTCCATTAGGTATTATACTGCTTAAAATTGATGGGTAACATGACTCATCTTCGTTCACAATTTTTGTATTCATGTCTTTAATTGTTCACTTCTATTGAAATTTGATTTCGTTAATCATTTTATCCTTCCAGTATGCGGGTAACTTTCACATTTTATAATTACATTGTTCTCCTTTCAGTTATGTACCTGTTGCTCTACCTCCCCTTGAAGACTGTTTTGGAAAATCTTAAGCCTCCTATCTTTGACCGAGAATTTACATGATTTCGATATTTCATTTTAGACACAGCTCTGTTGTTTATATGGTTTTAAGCACTTTCTGTAAAATGCAGCTCATGATTTGAGGTTTGTGACTTACCTGTCATCTTAGTTTTTACCATAATGAGCTTTAAAATCTGTCTACTGTGAAGCCTGGAGGACATACATTTAGTTGTCATTTATTGATATAGTACCATATATCAGACAAATTGTTTTGAATTTTGTTCATTATTCGAGCATTTTATTATTTATTAAAGGATAAGGTAATCGTTGAGCTTCGGATTTCTGAAAAGAAACTGGTTAAAGTACAAGGTATTGCGAAGGATTCTGTAAATGAACACTGCGAAAGGAAAATATACATCAGCCAGACAGAATCAACCTACAACCTCGAACACAAGTGCATTGGTTCAAGTTGCCACACTTCATAGTGCTATGCAAGTAACAGGTGGATAGAAAAAGAGTAATATAAAGGTGGGTAGATTTGTTTGACAAAATAAGCGATATGAAGATAAAGATTAGCAGAATACTCAAGCTTTAGAAGACGCTAAGGAGTGAATAAATCTGTCCTATTGTAACCGATTTTCAGTCATGTCACCAACAGTTCCCAACCACTGTTTCCCTTCACCGTGAAGACCACAGCTAGGTAGTCTACATCTCTCAAAATGACTCAGATCAACAGCCATTGACTTCATGGAGCAATGCCACCCCTTGGTCTGGTCACCCTGAACCTTCTTTCAACCTAATCTAACTTCCTGTTAGAAATAGCACGTCGAGGTAGGCGGTGACTGGGTATGTATAAAGAATGTTCAAACCACCTTAACAGATGAAGGTTCACCAGCTCATCAGTCAACTTGCCTGTCTTGCCTAGTAGCCTTAACCTGACCTTAAGATTGATCACGCGGTGATCAAACCAAACGTGAGGAGTGCTACAAAAACATCCATGGTGAAAACTCTGCAACCACTTCATTTGTTCTACTTTCAACGGCCATTTCTCGCATCTTTATGGCAGAACTGAACTAACTGAGGCGTAGAATAATCGTCCTTTAGGTGTCAGTTCGATGAAGGCAATCGGCGAGAAGCCTTGGAACCAGACTCCGTGCTTTTTGGCATCTGAAACCCCTATGGAACTGATGTTGGACCTGAGATTCAATCTGGTGTCACTCAGTGCTGCAGTCAGAGATGTTACCACTGTGATACTCGGCCCTCGACTGACCGCCCATATGACCAATTAATGTGCCTAATCAAGTCCTAAAGGAGATCAGCCGCTGTCCGAATAAATCAATGGTGACTTCTCTGATTGCAAGACAGAGTGACGTGAGTTCAAATCTCTGCGAGACATCGGCTCTATAGAGGTTGGAAACACGTCTTACTGGTGATTGCCAAGAAACATGAAAGGTAAGTCTATGGTTTCTTGTCGACTGCTTCCAATCAACTTACATCTATCAGAGTGCATCGCGACGTTGAGTCAACTAGCCTGGTGGCCACCGCAAAATGATCGATAGGATTCGGTAAGCACTTAGGAATAGACAACATGAGATTGGTTGCCATGCAGTGGTCAGTCAATATACTCAACCTTTGATAGGTAGTCGGATATCTCGCCATCTGGCTGCACAGATGATGCAAGTTGGCAAATGTTAGATAGGCCTTCTGTATCCAATCTGACATTTGGTCAGCAACCAACCCGTTCAAGCTGATACAACTCCTCAAATGAGTGAAGTCGTCGACACTTTCCATCACTTCACTCACTCCCTATCATTGAACTGTGAGTAGTTGCAGACCAGTTCTGAAGCATCATATTACACTCGTAGGTGACAGTGAAACGCATTTCAAACATACTCAAATTTCTTCTCAACGAATCCAAAGTGCCCAGTATTGCGGCAGCACCTTCACCTAGTAGAACAATATAATCCACATACTCCAAGTCAATCACATACCATCCAGGGGGTAGACCAATCCCAGTGAAGTCAGACATACCTAAGGTTATATTCACTAGTACGTCCTTAACGAAGTTAAATGGGGAAATGGCGACAGTCGGCATCCCTGGCAGACACCACTAGTTGTCTTCAGTTCACAAGACAACTCTCCATAAGCCCTGATATGGTTGTGTGAGTTGTTGTAGAGAGATCTGATAAGCGCGATATATTTTCTAGGCACTTTTTACACAGTTAGACACCTTTGCAACACCTATCGGTCGACTGAGTCGAATGCCGTCTTCAGGGCAAGAAACACAGCAACGTGTCAGCCTTTGGCCGGTAGCTGTGACTGTAGTTTAGAACCTGTCGGAGGGTGAAAATGTGGTTAATGCATCCTAGTTCAGGTCTGAAGCCTACCTGGTTTTCCCGAGTTTGCCACGCCCGAGCTCTAGTTAGGCTTTGGATAACTATAGACCCCAGGATAGTGAACAGATTATTGGTCAAACTAATTCCCCTATGGTTTATAGACTGGGATGATCAGTGAAGTAAACCAGTGTGATGACACTACCTCTGATTCCCATAAACTACCTAGAACTTCCGTCATCTTAATTAGCAGTTTTCCACCTCCATGTAAATTAAATTCATCTGACAAGCTGTCAGGTCCTGCTGCTTTGCATCTTTTGAGGTTCAGTACAGTTTTCTCCACTTCAAGGACAGTTGGACAACCAACATCTACCTACTACGATAATATAAGTATCATGGTTCCGACTAAGTTATTGACATCTATGAAACCAAGAAGCGAAATGAGCTAAAACAGCTAATGGAACAAGCTTCACGGAAGTTTATAAAATGTTTAGAGTTGAGGTGATGACAAGTAGAGTGCACTGGTAGATAAATAGAGAACAGTTGATAATAGCACAGATAGTGACGGAAAAATCACAAGAAAATGAGTAGAAGCTATACCGCAGTACTTTCCGCACATGCTGAACACCAAAGACCCCTGAATTTTGAAAAAGAATAGGCAAAACTTATTCGGGTCATATAGAAAGAGAGGTAAATTTAGTGTTTATCAGTAATGAGTGAGCGTGTGGTAGTTGAATCGCTGGACATACGATACAACATCATGATACCCCAATCTATGCTGACAGTATACCTATGAAGAATGAATATGATTTCATGAAGAAAAATAACCGTTTCTCATTAACACTGAATGTACTTCGCATAACTTGACTTAGGTTGTAGATGACAAATATTTTAAAACAGCAAACAGCTACCTTTTGTTGCTTGATAAACTAATGCAAACTAAGAGTTCTTAGAATCTTTTCTCAAAAATATTCACCATCTAAGTAAATATCCACTATAGCAAACTACTACTAAGAATTGTAATTAGAAGGAAGAAGCCCTTCATAAACAAGTTTATTTTCTCCTATTACTAAGTACATTGACTACACAACAAAAGAGTTGATTTTTAATCAGAATCGCCAAAGATGGTTATTTGTTTTAAGTATGCATGGGAACACATAGGATGGGTTATGGGTTTATTGTTTTTATAGACTTTCTAGTTGCAAAGTGAAAATTAGTGAGAAACAGTTCTGCCGAAAGCTAGAGAACAAATAAGTGGCCAAAATGTTAACTAGCGGAGACCCCAAGTTGAAATACACTGTAACATAGTGGAACAAAAATAATATACACACATCGCTTAATGCGACAATATCTGGCCTTCTTTTTGATGGAAGATGAAAGTTGATGCAAATTTTGTTTATAATTTTTGTACAAGAGACTGAAATTAATCTGAAATTGCAAACAGTTTTGAAACTATGAAAGTGAGTTAACTCCTACTATGTAAACTATCTATCCGTTCTAACTCAACAAACGTATCGTTTTTTGAAGGTACGGCACCAGTGTACGCTTGATTAGTACTTCTCAACTTAATTTAGTGTTAAATCTGATATACCAAAGCATATGATGATAGCATTACATCAAAAGATGGGGATTAATCAAGAAAGAAATACAACACAAACATATCAACTGATGACAATTTCTTCATCACATCAATAATTGAGGAATATATTCACATATGATGGCCACAAGGCAATAATCTATTAAGACCATGTCAATTTTCTTGATTCTCTAGAGATATAGATAGTCAAAAGCACAAGTTACAACTTAATGATGCAAAGACAACTTTGGAGTTTTGAGATTTGTTACTTATACTTCAGTGTGAAACACTATT